AACGGATGAAGTCTCACCTGGCAAAATCTTTGCAGTGCCAGTCCGTTCCTGCTGTAGGAAGGGCGTGCGTGTGCTGGAGTTGGGGGTGTTGAGGATGTGCTGTCACATGGCGTGGTTTAAGGCAGGAGTTGGCCAGTGGAAAGGGCAGTTGTTGGGTTGCTGGCATCAGCTTGGTATTTTAACTGCAACAAAAATGTAATGGAAGAAGATTAATTGGGAGACTTCCATCCTGCAAAAGTGATAATACTCAGACTTTTATGAGGCTTTTTGTCACTTGTCTCAGTGTATCGAGATTTCCATATGGAATGAAGCGCTCCTTGGGTTGTATTTTCTTAGCGGTGAGGTCTGGTCCCAGCAAGGCTGTTCCTGTTGGAATTTCAGCAGTGCCTTGCCAAAGCACCCTAATCCCTCCTATTTAATATTTACATGTTACATGACTAGAGCAGTGCAACATGGCTGGATCCCAAGTGTTTTGCTTTGAAGTATCAGACCTGCAACAGGATTACTCCATTAATGCCTGCTGTGGGGACTGTGTATGCGTGGGGGGTTGGAGGCTGGGTGCCCTGGCTGGGAGGTTTAAGAGATGATGCTCTGCTCAGCTGAAGGAAGAGGGACCTCTGCCTTTCTCAAGAATATGACAGTTCTGGTCGTGTCCTGCCGTCCCACCAGGCATGTGTTTTGTTGAATGAATAGGAGCAGACAGCAGAAGCTAAGTAAATGTGGTGGGATGCATTTCTGGGTACAGAAATTGCAGGTTTTGCTTAAAGGTGAAATCCATGCTTATGCAAGCAAAATTTCTAAAAAGCAACAATCAATCATCTTTCTGTCCTTAAAATGTGGACTTGAATTTTGGGCTAGGATAGGCAGTTTTTGTGTAGAAAGGCTGATATTGAGGCCAGGGCTTACGTGTTTAGTAAATACATGGTCTGAGTGCATCAGCTGATGTTTAAAAGTGTTTACCGATATTCCCATCCTGTGTCGGTCCATTACACTTTATGGAGTGTGAGGACCACAACCTTTGAAGAAAAAACTTGTGGTGCCTTTTCATTTGCAGAAATTAGTCTTGATGTTGAACATTATCAAGTTAGTGGTAGTTGATATAACGTTTCGAGAGTAATTAGGAGCATGAATTTATGCTCAGATGGATGTTTAATTAAAAACTGTGGCAGCTTTGAAGTTCACGCTTGAATAATCTTGAGGCTGAAATGTGGGTTTATACCCAAGTGAACCTTGACAGCAGATCTGGAGAGGGGGAAAATGCTTTAGTAGCTCCAATTTCCTCCCATTTGTTTTATGCCATCATGGCATCTGTAACGGTGCCTAATTTATGAAGATGATCGGTTCAGCCAGGACGTCACGTAGCCAGATGCAAAACCCGCTCTGGGGAAAGGAGGAGTTGGAGGATATTTGTGTATTTGAGACCTCCAGGAGCTGTACCCCAGGTGATGCTGTCAGCGGTCCTTCAAACCTTGCGGTGCTTCCTGTGAGCAGCCAAAACGGGGCGATCAGAGTGCCTCCTGGAAATCTCTTCTCCTTGAACTTCTAGGGATTCAGTCGCTGCCCTGTGTGAGTGGGGAGGGAGAAGAGGGTAAGCATGTGCTTGTGTCCAATGCAGGGCTGGTGGTGGGATGCTGGGGCTCAGGGAGGGTGCCGGTCCTCACATCGCTCACTCGTGTGTACGAACAGCTGGAAGCAGCTCACCCTGCCACCGACAAGTGGAAAAAGCCTGAACAAAGCCAGGAGGGAAGGAAGGCGAGAAGACAAAATGTTATAGGTTGCTGAAGAGCAGATCAGCGCCTTTTCGCAGGCAGGCAGATGACCGAGGGCTGTTGGCATAGAGTATTAAGCAGGTAGGAGGCAAGGAGGGCATGGGGAGCAAGGGTTGCTGCAGTGATTGCTGCTGCCCTCCAGCTTTCTTTGCTCCTGTCACCAAAAACGTCGGTGGGGGTGTGGTCTGAAGGCTCCGAAGTGACCGCCTTGTCTTGGAAGAGGTTCATCCTCCTGAAGACTTCACCTCCAGGCCAGCTGCACCCTCTCCAGCATCCTCAGGGCAAGCTCCCGAGCACAGGGGCAGCAAAAAGGAGGAATTTTGAAAAAGCAGAGAATTTCTGTTGAACTTCACTGACAGCACCTGCAGTCTTACCTGTTTTGACCCATGTCTTTGCTGTTGGGGGATCAGAGGCAACCCTGGGAGCAGGATTTTGGGTTATTGTGTGGTTTTCTAGTGGAGGTTCCTGCTGTGGCAATGTTTTAGAGGAAAAAACCCAAGTTTTGATGAGTGGAGGACACACAGGAGGTAAAAACATTGCAACGGAGGCTTTCTGGTGCTCTTCTTGTTCATGCTACCCCGATCCTCGTTTGTACCTTCCTTATCTTTGCAGTATTCACACTGGACCATTTAGTGCTTGCCTCTCATTAATTAACAATTTCAGCTTGCCTTGGCTTTGGCAGAAATGGATCTGCTGCCCGATCCAGCTGGATACTTTGGGAAAGGCAGGGGCATGGGTGTTCCTGGTCTTGCTGCCAAGCTTTGGGCATGGGCGCTTGGTTCTGTACGGCCAACGCAAGGGCGGCGGTTGGTGGCGAATGCGATCGAAAGGGCTTGTTACGGCCGCGGCATCTTTTAATGTGTACAGGTCGGGTGCTAATTTTGTTCCTGTATTGCATTTACAGCTTTCATTTCTCAGTGTCTTTCTCCAACGTGTCTGTATCTGCATTGCAAAACCAAGAAGGCCTGCAGTAGGTTGAAAATCAGCTGGTTTTTAAACTATGTATGGTGGTTTCACTACAAGTATCAATGTTGAGCATTAGGGACGTTGAATTAAAAGGGACAGTTAACTGGTGAGGAAATGACTGGTTTTTCTGGATGGGGGTGGAATTCTGCTGGGATGAAACTCAACAATCCATCACTGCAAACAAACTATATGGAAAGCAAACCTTTGTTCCGAAGTTCCTAGGCTAAATACTTATTGGTTCTACTTCGCCTAATTTTTGCATGACTAAGTGTCCCTCGTGGCTCACATTAACATACATTTCAAAGCAGTTTATTTTGTTTCGGTAAATGTTCACACAATATTAAGTTCTTACCTTCATCTCTAAATACTTGGATAGCAGCAGATCCCTGGGAGAAGGATGGTGTAGGCACGCAGGGCTCCTTTGTCCCTGGTATCGGAAGTTGACAGCAGCATGCCGCAGGGCTGGGGCATTTCCATAAATACACAATGAGATGGTGACGTGTCAGATGAAGGTGGATGTCACCAGCAAATACATGGCTTGAGATGCCTCGTCTCTCTTCTCCATTTCATGGAGGGTTCAGCATCCCGTGGTTGTGTCCGAGCATCCCCCCGATAGTGCTCTGTTGGCTTGAATTAGAGTCGGTACGTGCGGGGGCTTCCTGGCCAGGCAACCAAGGATGAATTTAGGAAGGGGAGAATTTGTTTTTGCAAATCACACTGTCTAAATAGATGGTGCCTAGCGATGCACCTCTCCTTCCCAACGGCCGCGTCCGGGGGATGCTTCGGCCGCAGCCTGGTGCTGCTGGGCTGCGCTTTGTTCTGGGTTTCTTAATGTTGCACATTTTAAAATAAAGCTCTTTTTCCATTGTTGCTTGGGACGTATAAATTGTGTTAATAACTGAGCAAGGAGCCCTGGTGAGTGAATTGGCTTCCTGGTGTAGTCATACGTTTGGAGAGGATGATGCTGCCTTGCTCCGCAGCCGGTGCGTGGGTTTGCTTCCCAATGTCGTGCCTGGAAACCTGGTTGGGGACAGGTCCCCATGTCTGCTAATTCGGGGTTTGTGCTTGGGGTGAGATGGTGTGAAAGACTATCTCAGCTCGCAGGAGGGCTGGGAATTCTGGCACAAATGCCAGGAGGGCTGGAGGAGCCTGCAATTTAGGAAAAACTCATATTTGCTCCCATTTCTGCCATGCTGCACCTTGACCCCTCTCAGCCTCTGCTCCTCGTTTTGTCCTTGGTGTGTTAATTATTGATGCCCCAGGGCAGGAGCTGCTGATCCTTGTGTGTGCTCCATGCTGTACCTTGTGATGTGGCCTTGGGATGCTCCTGTAGTGACTGGGAAACTGGGATGCTTCCTTCTGCCTCCCAGCTCTCCTGCCAGGATGGGCATCAGCCAGTTTTGCTGGAGCAGCATCATCTTTTCCTCTGACTGCGCCTGGTTTATCAGCAGAGCCTGTGTCCTCATATGGAGGGAGGGAATGATTTGGTTTTAGCAATTTTCATAGAATCATAGAATGGTTTGGGTTGGAAGGGACCTTAAAGATCATCTAGTTCCAACCCCCCTGCCATGGGCAGGGACACCTTCCACCAGACCAGGTTGCTCCAAGCCTCATCCAGCCTGGCCTTGAACACTTCCAGGGATAGGGCATCCACAGCTTCTCTGGGCAACCTGTGCCAGTGCCTCACCACCCTCTCTGGGAAGAATTTCTTCCTGATATCTAATCTAAACCTCCCTGTTTTCAATTTGTACCCGTTACCCCTTGTCCTGTCACTACAGGCCCTTGTAAAAAGTCCTCTCCCAGCACCCTTGTAGGCCCCCCTACCATATCATTTTGATATGATGTTGGGTGATCCATTTCTCAGGAGAGGAGGAAAGGCTGGGAATTGGCTTGTTTGATAGCAGTTGTGTTGGTTTTAAGAACCCATGAACTGTTTGGGCTCTTTCGTAGTTTTGCCCATCACTTCCAGGGATTTTTCCATTAGGATTCATGTAGCTGAGCGCTGCCCAACGGGCAGTTCATTGCAGTGATGTGCTAATTTTGCTGAAAACAAGGATTGTCCGGAGGTGTCCAGGAGTTTGTTTCCGCCCTGGCTCTCGAGCATCTCCCCCAGATGCACTCTGCCGCGTGTGCCAGCGCTGAGGATGGGGTCCCTTCCATAGCCAAGGGGCAAACCTGATTTTAAAAGCCTCTCCAGCCTGCAAACTGAGGCTTTTGCACAATAAATAAGTTAATGGACAGAGTGTGTAATGGTGCCCTGCGGGCATGGAGTCCCGTGAGTGTCCCCAGGTACCTGAGAGATGGGGCTCAGACACGAGGGGACCGAAGTCGGTACCGTGTGGGTACCCCGGCGAGCACGTTTCCATCATCACAGCTCCAGCAGACCGTTCCCAGCCGAGTCATGCTCTGTGCCCAGGAGAGGCCCTGAGCTGTTTGGTTTTTGCATGGCTGAGCATTAAAGGATATTTCCAGCGCTTGTTTGCCAGGAAAATACAGCATCGAAGGCCCTTTGCTAATTAATCGTAATGGCAGGAGGAAGGGAAGGGAATCGCTTTCCCGTCATGGCTGCTGTGAAGGTGCTCTTGGAAAAGCAAAATACGTGCGGATGCTGCCAGGGCGAGGAGATTGTTGAAGGATATTGTTCACTGTGAGAAAAACATTGCCACCATGTAAACAAACAGACTTCTCCCTTTTCTTTTGCAGGGTCGTCATGTTAAAACAGGCCAGCTTGCTGCTATTAAGGTTATGGACGTCACCGGGGTAATGTATCCTCCTCCTCCTGCATCCTTAAATGACAGCTAAGAGGGGAAAGGGGACCCAGTCTGACAACCCTGGGGGGGTTGGTAGGAGGCTTGTGTTCCTGGGAAGCAAATCCCCTTTGCCTTAACGTGAAATGTGCCGTTAAGAGGGTTTGGTTATAATAAATGTGTGAGGGAAAAGTAAATCCGGAAGTGTTTTGGATATTTAAGTAATTTTATGCTGAAACAAAGCACCATCCAGGTTCCAACAGTGGCTCTTCAGAATGCATTGATAAAATCTGAAGAAAACTGTAACAACAGGAACGTGGATTCATAACACATTTCAGCTTCTCCAAATCTGTGTTTTTCACCCAAAAGCTTTTGTTTGCCAAACCTACATGCAGGAATTGTTACGAATAACTTTAGTAGGCAAGTTAAATTACTCCTGTGCATCCTGTTGATACAGAGGAGAAAATGCACCGCCCTGGTCTCAGAAATGTGGCTCTTTTGAAACTTGTATCAGACTAAGAAAACCAACAATTTGTGAGTTATTAAATGAATT